GTAACCTCATGCTAAGGCCAAAGGCATACTTGTCATGCCAGCTCTCAGGAGGCAAAAATACTAATGACTCCTGTGACTGGAGAAATGGCCTGGAGACCATGTGACTTGCCAGCAGCAAGTTTGGCAAAAGAAATTGAAACAGTGTCGGAGCAGCATTAAGTGTGCCACAGCACAGAGGTCCTGTCCATATGGAAGCAAATCCAGAGGACAGGATTGACTGCATTACACAAGTTCTCCTGTACTCAGCAGACATTCTCAAGTGCCATGTGACTGACATTCCCACACTGGAAAAGGACTCCAGAGCTAAATTGGAAGCACCTGAGCATCACTTGGGACACTTCTATAAACTTCTCATTTAAGATATTGAAATTAGTACTCTCTAATAAAACTACAGCTAATTGTATATAAAGTCAAAGCTACATAAGCCCACTATGAGAGCAGAGTCTGGGTTATGCCCTTATGACCAGCACTGGTATATTGCCATATGCATAGGATGTTTTATAGATGTGCGTTTAGTGGTTTGATTGCCAAGTGTTTGTTGTTTGTGGTTGTTTGACACTTAAACAGCCTTTTAGAATTCTTGGTTTTTACCTGTAGTACAATATATGTGATTGCCACATAAGAATTCTAGGTAGATAAAGAACTACTCTTCAGTTTTTAAATTATTTAATCAAAAATATGTATCAAGAATTCCAAGATGAGACCACAGCCAATAACTGAACCAGAGCTAAACTGTCTGCATGGTGGTGATGAGGTGTGGCATCTTGTGTGCAAACAGGAAAATAAGTCCTCAGAAGAAATCTCATGTAGCTTAGATTTCACCATTGCTTGGTAAAGGCTAGTCCTTTTCGTCTGAAAATACATACCACTTCTCTGGGAAACGATGTTACCTTGAAATTTCAAGAAGTCACATCCTGGTTACACCATTGTACTCAATCTAGAGTTGAACTGTCTATCTTCTAGAGCAGTGGTCGGCAAACTCATTAGTCAACAGAGCCAAATATCAACAGTACAACAATTGAAATTTCTTTTGAGAGCCAAATTTTTTAAACTGAAACTATATAGGAAGGTACATTGTTATTTACTTAATTAGGGTACTCCTAAGGCTTGGGAAGAGCCACACTCAAGGGGCCAAAGAGCCGCAGTTTGCCGACCACAGTTCTAGAGCAAGGTTGTCATGATATTTCTGAGATTATGTCAATGTTCTATTCTGAGCTGCCAAGTACTGCAGCCACAGGTCATGAGTGGCTATTGAGCACTAAAAGCTGTGGCTGTTGAGGCTGAATTTTTAAATTTTATCTAGTTTAAATTTAAATAAGCACATGTGATTACAGCATAGCTAAAAGAAATAGAGATACAGATTGAAATAGATCTACAAACAGAATCTTCATTTTCACAAGATTCCCAGGTGATTTGAATACACATCGAGTTTGTGAAATGCTGTTTTATAAGGCTGATTAGTTCCTTGCTCTCTGAGAGTGTAAAACCTCAGAACTTAATTTCTGAATACAGTATTATTCTAGGACTCTTTTTAGAGAAAAACCTAGAAGGATAACTCCAGAATTAAATTTTCTAGAGTCCTTGAAAATATGATTCAACCAAGACCATCTTTCTTTGCCATTAGGACTGGCCTTACATAAAAGCTTCATGAGTATATTTGGCAAAAGATTTTCCACTGACCTTAGAAAGAGGCCTCTGTACTGCACAAGAAAGTGCCACTAAACTGCTTGTCACTGAAATCAGTTTGCCAACTCTTTCCCTAAAGATCAAACTTCAGAAGTTTATATCCTGAAAAGCTTATATGAAATTTGCACCAGGCTAGCAGAAACCACAATATTAGTTATCTGAGTACTAAGTGTGATAAGGAATGGATGAAGACGGGTACTCCTCCAGAAAATTAAAGTGGAAAGGTAGGAAAATAGGAGAGGTGAAGGGAGAGAGAAGAACGGAAGGCTGGCATTCCATATAGCATGCTATTCAGGTTATAATTCCGGACTCAAAAAGCCATATGATCCATAATTATATTCTATGGAGAGTGTCAGCAGTCACTTTGGTAAGCTAATTATTGGAGTATTAGGTACAGGCCCTGACAAGGTCTGAGTGCCCCCAAGGGCATCCATATGCAGTCATTCTTCAGCACAGTAATTTATACCACAGTCTAAATTGTCACTGAAGGAAACACCTATATGCCAGTCTATAGTGGACATTTTTGTGTGTGTTTGCTTATTATCAGGCTCTGCATGCATGTCCTCTTTTTCCAATATTAGCTCCAGAATATTATTTGAGTATTTACTTTGGACCAACTGTATTGCTACTTCCACTCAGAAGTGGAAAACATGGCACATGCAAACCACTAGCTTGGTGATGGTGATTTGTCCACAGAAGTGCACATAAGTCAATCAAAACTAATCAGAAGTATGGACTTGGGCTGTAACTTCTAGAAAAAAAAAAGACTCTTCTACTTACTGGACTTGAAAGTAAGAATAAAGTAACTATAAAGCATTAACTTAGGCAGCCATTTGGATACAAGGAGAGAACCTGTATGAGAAAGGAACCTGAGTCAAGAGAATGAGAAGGGAGATGTCATCTTTTGAGCATTTGACTTAAGCCTCACCTGAAGCCAACCCTACACACTGTACTTCCCAAATGAATCCTAAGAAATAAATCTACTCTCAAAAATATATCCTAAGAGGAAAAAAAGAAAAAACGTTGGCTGAAAGTATAGTCAAGAACAAACGGTAAATGCAGTGCTGAGTATAATGTGGGATAGAGTGCTCTTGTGAACATTAAGCTTTCCTACTTCCTTCCTTCTGTACTTATACAGATTTCTGGAAATAAATGCATAGCCCAGAAATAAAGTTCAATAACATGCTCTGTCATAAGCAACATTTAAAAATTAACTTGTGGCCTGGCTGGATGTGGCCCAGTGGTTGAGCATCCATCCAGGAACCAAAAGGTCACTGGTTAGATTCCCGATCAGGGCACATGTCTGGGTTGTGGGCTTGATCCCCAGTAGGGGGCATGCAGGGGCAGCCAAGTAATGATGTTTCTCTCACATCATTGATGTTTCTATCACTCTCTACATTTCTCTCTAAAAATCAATAAAAATATATTTTTAAAAATTAACTTGTGATCATCAAATTCTCAGGTGTTCCCATTCATTTATGACAACAATAACATTATCCATCACTTGGGTGAAAAGTCCCAAGATTTACAAACATACGGCTTAACTATTTATTATCTCTATTTTATAGATTCAGCAAAATTCCATTTAATTATACAGAGAGCAATAGAACTTAGGGTACAAACACGCAGTTATTTTGTCCTATTATTAAAATCTGCCTTCCATAGGGAAAGCTATGAGAATAGAAGAAATTAAGAAAAAAAATTAACTGGGGTTTTCCAAGGAGTTGGAAAAATTTAATTATGCTTAATACAATTACCTGTTAGTGAAACAATGTTTGGAACTGAGTTGGAGTCTATTTCATACAATATATTAGTTGCTCTAAAACATGTAAATAATGATCATAAATCAGCATCAGGGTTTCTGACGGTGCATAATGTAATACCAGGCAGGGATTGGCATTCTATCTTGAGCCACTGAGCCACTGACACCCCTAAAGGAAATGCCAGTCATATGTTCCATATCACAAGTTTCCACAACACCGAAGGCATCCAGCATGCCATTGCTTTGGAGACTTTATGCAAAAATGCATCTGTATATGGATTCATTTTAGCATGGATCTTTTTTAGAGGAAGCTGAGTATTCTATATCAAATTAGGAATGAGACTTATAGCCAATGAAGATGGCAAACTGGGAGGTACTTATCCCTTACTGCTGGCAAAGCCAATTAGGCATATCTTTGTTTCATGACAGCTATATAAAGAATTAGGGAGTTGAGAATGTGGTCATTTAATATGTATGTGCAATCTAATTCTTTCTGTTGGTTCACATACACAACATTTAGAATATCCCACAGATGTTCTTTGGCCTCACTTCCCCAAATTATGTAAGGCAACATAATTTAATACATGCAGTAGTTTTCTGTCTCCGATCCAAAAAAAAAAAAAAAAATCAATGCAAGAACTTATTCAAACAGAGTATTTCAGATGTGTTGAGATATTAATCCTGATTTACTGGATCATTCGATTCAAAACTAAAATCAAACTTACATTTCCATTATGTTCTTGATGACTTTGACTTTCTGTATTTCTGTCATGTACTAGCAACACAGTAATTGTTCTGTATGCAAATTTGGGGCCAATTTTGTAATTGAAATTAATATCTTGCTTAAACCTTTGCCATTTATTTATTGGTCTGTCTCTTGTACTAGAATGTGAGCTCCTGGAAAACAAGGGCTTCATTTGTGTGTAAGTTGCCAGGATCATACACACACTGAGAACTCAACTGAAATAAATTTAGCAGTGGTTTTTACAGAGAAGTATACTAAGCATTTTGGTGACTATTTTATTAAGGAAGTCACACAAGTAAGGTCAAGTAGGATTCTTCTGGACAGCACATGTTTATTTGACAAACATGTTTTTTGAAGTTTTTTTAAAGCACAAGTTCTATGGCCATAATTGCTAGCATTTATTGACTGCTTGTTATGAGTCAGGTAAAATGCTAAATACTCTAAATCCATTATATCTTCTCTCTTCTCAATTATCCTATAGGGTAGTAATATTAGCATTCAAATATTACAAATAAGGAAAATAATACTTTCTTAATAATCAGAGGATTTAATCACACACCCAATGTCATACTTGAGTCCTCATTCTTCACCATACTATGCCCCAGCCTAATAAGTTCTGTATATTGAAGACTATAATAAGTAATAGGGGAATGCTAAGTCTGTGGGAATAGGTAGAATAGGTAAATTTACTATAAAATTTAATCTTTCTTTATTTTGTTTATTAGCTTCCTAAATAATATCAACCACATAAACTCCTTCAATCCCAAGGGAATATATGGAAATAGATTATATGAGACTAGAAACGAGATGCAAGAAATTTGTGCAAGGGACTCGGCCCTTGCAGCCACGGTGGCTTGCCTCGGTCCTCGCAGCCCCTGCTTTATCTGGAAGGTTGTCCAGAAGGACATCCAGAAGGTCGTTCAGCTGTTCAGTCTAATTAGCATATTACACTTTTATTATTATAGATTTTAAGTAGGAAATTGTTTGGCTCAAGTATGTTTCACATAAAACACCATTGAAAGGTGCAGTTTGCTAAAAACAAACAAACAAACAAAAAAAAAAAACAGGTGTACAAAGGGGGCAATGAATCAAGCAACCACCTGGGATTGGTGAGTCTGAAAAGTTAGGTGAGCATGGGACATCAGTGGTCCTTGTTATGTCAGTGACTCCTCCGACATGTCCCAAGAGATGTAAAAACAAAAGGAAAAAAATGTTGAGCATGTCCTGTGAGAATTGGACATATTTGGCTGGACAGCTATTACCTTACACAGGCAATTAATTAATAGTGACTAATATACATTTGGACACACATGTTATTTACTTGATATTTTCATATAAATATTACAATAACTTTGTTTATATTGAAGGATTGTTTTGTAATATAAAAAAAAAATGATTCCTCTAAACTAACAATAGAAAAACACAACTTTTACATAAGGGTAGATCCATTTTCTTTCGTTCACATATAATCTATATTGAATTCAAGAGTTGGCAAATAGCATGTGAGGCCATTTAGGAAAATACCATGAGGGCTGCATTATTAAAATTTTCTAGAAATCTCACTCCATTTTTTTTGAGGAAGGGAATAAATGGGTATGTGAAACTAACTACTTATAAGAGCAGGGAGGAGATTGAGGTCAGCTTTCAAAGAGTCAATTGTAGGAAACACCTCATCAAAAATAATTCATTAACTAATTCATCCTGTAGGGCAGTGATGGCAAACCTATGACACGCGTGTCAGAGGTGACACGCGAACTCATTTTTTTTGGTTGATTTTTCTTTGTTAAATGGCATTTAAATATATGTAAAATAAATATCAAAAATATAAGTCTTTGTTTTACTATGGTTGCAAATATCAGAAAATTTCTGTATGTGACACGGCACCAGAGTTAAGTTAGGGTTTTTCAAAATGCTGACACGCAGAGCTCAAAAGGTTCGCCATTACTGCTGTAGGGTATGCAAGCCTTGTCCTCACGTTGCTATTGTTTTTCAAGGTTTTTCAAAGTAATGTAGACATTCACAAAATATGAAAAATCAAATTTCAAAGCAGAGTTTATAACGAAAGGTATATTAATTAGAAAGGTATCTATCAGGCAGCCATAACAAAATGCTGTAGATTGGGTGGCTTAAACAACATAAATCTATTTTATCACTGTAAGGCCAAAAGTCCAAGGTCAAGGTGATAGCATGGTCGGTTTCAGATAAGAACTCTTCCTGGCTTAGAGATGGCCACCTTCTTGCTGTGTCTTCACATGGCAAAGATGGAGGGATCTCTTCCTCTTTTTAAGTCCACAGAACTATCCAACTAAGGCCCCACTCTTACAATCTCATTTAACTTTAATTACTTTCTAAAGACACTATCTCCAAATACGGTCACATTGGGGGTAAAGTTTCAATGTATGAATTTGGGGAGAGGACACAATTCACTCCATTGCAAAAGGTAATAGATTCTCCTTTATCTTTACGACATCCTTAAGAGCCAATTAATTCCAAAAAATGGCTTTATTGTTGTGACTACATCTCTGTGTGCCAGTCATTTAAAGAACTTCATGATTTAGTGTTGCAGGATAACAAAGTAGACAACAAGAGAAGCTCTAAATCCTGTCTTCTCAAAAAGCTAAATGTTAAGATAGATATTTCTCTCAGAGGCCTGCTTGTAATAGCTTCTATAATCTCTTTTAACTCAAGAATTCCGAAAAATGCAACATACATGGAGGCCACACAACCTGAACTACCAGTTTGGTTAGGAGGTGAGGATGCCTGTCTCCTGTTACCAACTCTCTTCTTCTCCCTTATGGTAATAGAGTTTCTTCCTTTAGTTTTGGCTGGGATCATGGGCAACCTGCTAGAGACTACATTATCAGCAATGGTTTAGGAGTGAAAATCATCTGTGTACAACTTTCAGGTTGTTTATTTAATACAAAGTGCCATGCCTCAAACCACTTCTCTTCCACCTTATTAGCAGCAGTGCTGAGCTGTGCATATAAAAACATCAATACCCAACTTTGATCATCTAGAAAGGGACTGTGACCAGTTGGTGGGAGAATAAAGATGGATGGAAACTCAGTCCCTTGACAACTTCAGGGAGCAGGACTTCCCACCAGGCTAGATCAGACAGATGGTTACATAAGGAATCAAAAACGTCTCCCTTTTCAAGTCACTCTATTTTAGGGTTCTCTCTTTTTTTTCTTTATTGTTGAAAGTATTGCAGATGTCCCCTTTGTTTGTTTGTTTTCTTCCCATTGACTCTCTCTACCTTGTACCCACCCCTCCCAGGCCTTCACCACTCTACTGTCTGTCCATGGGCTATGCATATATGCATATAAGTTCCCCAGTTCATCACCTCCCCCCTATCCCTGCCTTTCCTCTGATATTTGTCAGTCTGTTCCATGCTTCTATTCTATATCTCGGATCTATTTTACTCATCAGTTTATTATGTTCATTAGATTCCACATATGAGTGATATCATGTGATACTTATCTTACTCTGACTGGCTTGTTTCACTTAGCATACTACTCTCCAGGTCCACCCATGCTGTTGCAAATAGTACGAGTTCTTTCCTCTTTACAACTGCATAGTATTCCATTGTGTAAATGTACCACAGCTTGAGCATCTTAAACTTTCCCTTCATGCAATTGCTTTAATTCATCAAATAATTTGTCAACTCATTCTCACTTTCCTCACATTTATTAAAATCATCAAAAGAATGATACCAACCATAGTTTCCAAATATTCCCATTATGCCTAAATAAAATTTCAGGTGCTATATTTCTAAATAACAAGTTACTGGGAAGATGCACAAAGTAGCAATTACTTGAATATTGGGCAAAGGTAAAGAGCCGTGGGAAAACAATACAATAACTCTTGTAGTCTCTGCTCCCATATACTCACTTCTAGTCACATTCCATTAGCTTAAGCAAGTCAATGACAAGTCTGATTCAATAGGATGGGTTGCATTCCCCTTCCACAGAGAGGCACTGTGGCTGTTATAGCAATGGGTAGGAATATACAATCCTCTTACAAAGAGGGGAAAACATCTCTACCACAATCAAATAAAACAAACTTTAAATGTCTCAGCTAAAAGTCAAATAATTTAAATGGGTTTCAATTTTATTCATATATTTTCATCTTTTTTCAGTAATGGGGTCTCATAATGGAAGACAAGCACTATATTTATTTAAGACAGACTTTTAAAAGCCTTTGACAATAATGTGCTGGCTTTGTTGACTCCTGTAAGTAGACCCTATGGTCAGATGTTCAAACATTCAGTACCTTATATCCTGGTATTCTTACCTCCTTACTTCTAAACTCTATAGCACAAATAAAAACCTACTTGCTATGGAAAGGATTCCTATCATTTTTTTTTATAAAATTTGTCTTTGGCTAGAGTAAATGCAACCTTAATTAATTCACAAATTCCACATATGAAAATTTAAAACGGCATTTTTTTAGAAAATCGGATATTTATGTTAATTAATCATTTATGCTTAGACAGCTACAAATGAAAATTTTATTTAAAATGTATAAGAATAAAAGGAAGCCCAATGTAAGTAAATGTAGGGCTTATATCTTAAAAGATCATTCAAAATTTATACTTTTAAGAAACAGATCAGAGCAGTGTGATGAGACTAGATCAACCCCCGGACCAAGCAAGGTCCGCGCGCTGCTGCATCCCCGTGTCCCGCCACCATCGCCATCATACCCAAGAGAAAGGCTGAAGGGGATGCTAAAGGAGACAAAGCCAAGGTGAAGGGCGAACCACAGAGAAGATCCGCCAGGTTATCAGCTAAACCTGCTCCTCCAAAGCCAGAGCCCAAGACTAAAAAGGCCCCTGCAAAGAAGGGAGAGAAGATACTAAAAGGGAAAAAGGGGAAAGCTGATACTGGCAAAGATGGGAATAATCCTGCAGAAAATGGAGATGCCAAAACAGACCAGGCACAGAAAGCTGAAGGTGCTGGAGATGCCAAGTGAAGTGTGTGCATTTTTTATAACTGTGTATTTCTAGTGACTGTACAGTTTGAAATACTATTTTTTATCAAGTTTGATAAAAATGCAGAATTTTGTTTTACTTTTCTTTTTTTTTAAGATATGTTGTTAGCAAACAGAACACTTCATTGTTATTTTTTGGGGGAAGGACATATAGTACTAATAGAATGTCTCCAAAGCTGGACTGAATTGGGCGGTGGGGATGGAGGGGGACTACCTTTCCCTTCTAGTTTTGAGAAACTTCCTCTTGGTTCCTGGGCGAAGGGATCTCTTGCTTTTGACACACATTAGCCATGTGGCACAAACACCTTGCTGTGTAGGAAATTAAAATTTGTTTTTCTGTCCTTTTCTCCCTCTCCACTTTAAGCATAGACTTTGGCTCTCTTAAGCCCAGAGACCTATTGGGGCCTGACCAAAAAAATTGACTTCCAGTATGTTGGGCAATCTGGACTTTCCAGTGTCACCACTGAGAGGACCTCTCTCTAAAGAGCAGCAGTTCCTTTTTAGATTGTGGATCTACAGATTGATATTCTCTGCCATTTTCATATCATTTCCTGAAAGTCAGGGTCAGCTTGTGAAAAGTTGTTAAACAACATGCTTAATGTGAAATGCCAACCCTCACTCTAAACTTTCCCTGTTCAGAGCATCAGATGAAGACTTCATTGGGTTTTATAGTGGCTTTCTGATTTTGGTAGTTCACTGAAGAAGGGAGTTTGAAAGTTGTTGTATACTGTTAATGATTGTCTGCCCATGTCCTGCCTGAAATACCATGATTGTTTATGAAAAGTATCTTTAATAAAGCTGGATACAGTTTTGGAAAGAAAAAGAAACAGATCAATAGAAGAGCTCTGGCCGAAACCGGTTTGGCTCAGTGGATAGAGCGTCAGCCTGCGGACTGAAAGGTCCCAGGTTCGATTCCGGTCAAGGGCATGTACCTGGGTTGCGGGCACATCCCCGGTGGGGGATGTGCAGGAGGCGGCTGGTCGATGTTTCTCTCTCATCGATGTTTCTGACTATCTCTCTCCCTTCCTCTCTGTAAAAAATCAACAAAATATATTAAAAAAAAAAATAGAAGAGTTCTGATTTCGGTTTGGATATAGAAAGTTGCAAGACACTATTGCTCTTACACTAATAACCAATACAAGCCATATAAGTTACAAAACCAAAGTATTCTGAATCCACCAGTGATGAGGATGCAAAAAAAAAAAGTCATAGAGAACTAAATTCCAGAAAGCCATAAGCATTTTATAGGAGACTAGGGGCCCAGTGCACGAATTCACGCACCTTGAAAGGAACTGTGGGCCACGAGGCTGCAGTGGGCACAGGAGCAGGTCTCGGCCCATCCTCTGTGCCCTCACCCTGCCCCTCCTGCGGCAGTCCCCAGTTCCCTGTCTGCCAGCAGCCCCACTCCGCTGCCGCCGCTCCCATGCGCTGACAACCCGGGTCCCGCTTGTACCTGCTGACAGCGCTGAGAAATCGGGGCTGGCACAGAGCAGGGGTGGTGCCAGCAGCAGGTGTGAGCACCCAGTGGGACCGAAGCACATGGGAGCAAAGAATTTTCAGTAACCACCAGAGGCTCGCCCCGATGACAGCTACTGGCACCCCGCCTTGGTCTGGCGCCCCTGCTAACCTGCTCCACCATCCTGCCATGGCCAATGCCCGCCATGTTCCACACTCTGCCGCCTGCTGCTGGTGCCCATCATGTTCCACACACGCCCTCTGGTGGTCAGCGCATGTCATAGTGACCGGTTGTTCAATTGTTCAGTTGTTCTGCCATTCGGTCTATTTGCATATTAGGGTTTTATGTATATATATAAAAGAACTATAGCTGTTCTCAATCCTGATAAATGAGTAATAAAGAAGTCTTCCATTTACGGTAGTAAGCAGAAAGCAACTGGAACTTCAACAACTTATAACAACTGTGTGTGGGCTAGCAGGGAAGATTACGATCCCAAAAAGCCTCAGCCACAGCAAGTTTACAGCCACATGCCAAACTTTCCCTTGGTTCTTCGTTATCCAGTAATTGTGGACTCAAAGGTTGGGGCCGAGGCAGAAGAGCCAAGAAGAATCTCTCTGATATGCTCTGGGTAAAAGAATCGGTCCCTACGTGCAGTTTTGAAATATGGCAGGTTGGCTACAAAGCACAGAGAGGGATCTCACCAGGACGCAGACCAAAATCTCTGAAAAAGGAAAAATTCTGACACTGAGTTCCAAATACATGAGGAAAATAATAAATTGGATCAAACTGAAGCTGCAATGAATCCCAAACCAAGCCCAGTGTCAGATTAGATTGACTCAGACCCCACATCTACCAATTTACTCATGAAGGGGCATGTTCTTTGCTGGAGAAAAATATAATTTACTTCAGACTCCACTGTTATTATGTACAAAATGTTCTGTATAAAATCAAAAATTATAAAGTACACCAAGAATCAATGAAATGTGACTCATAATAAAGAGAAGAAATAGCAAAATAAAGACAGCCTCAGAGACATCCTAGATGTTATAATTATCACACTTAAAAATAACTATAATAAAATTTAAAAAGAATCCAGGGAAAAAGGTGAAACAGATGCATGTATAAATGTAGAATTTGAGCAGATGCACAGAAACTGTGAAAAAATACTAGTAATTAAATAAAATGGTAGAAACTAAAAAATCAAAATTGAAGAATTTATTTAATTGGCTTAGAGACAAACTGGATTCCTCAGGGGAGAGAATCTGTGAACTTGAAGCCAGGCCATTAAAAAAATATACAAATGGAAACAAACACAAGAAGAAAAAGAAGAAGTAGAGGGAGGGTCTAGGAAAGAGGGGAAAGAAGGGTGTTCCAGACTTATAGAACAATATGAAATGATCAACATTACAAGAGCAATTAGAGTTCTAGAAGGAAAAAGAGATTAAACAGAAAAAAAAAAAATGCTTGAAGACATGGTGGTTGTGACCTTTCTAGAACTGATAAAAAATTAATCCAGTATCCAAGAAGCTCAGTAAAAACCCCAAGCAAGATAACCATAAGGCAAATTGCACCTGTACAAGTTATAGTTAAACTTCTAAAAACCAAAATTGAAAATAAATCTTAAAAGAAGCCAAGAGAAAAGACATATAGAGAACCGATAATATAAATAATGTCAAACTTTACACCAAAAATAATGGAAAGTAAATGACAAATGATAAAGTTCTAAAGAAAAAATATAATAAACTTAGAATTCTATACCCAATGAAATATTATTTTAAAATAAAGTGTGTGTGCAGGAGGCATCCAATCAATGATTCTCCCTCATCTCTCCCTCTCCCTTCCTCTCTGAAATCAATAAAAATATATTTTTTTAAAAAAATTATTTAAAGGAAAATGGTATCAGGATATAACTTGTAGATGAAATAAAGAGTAATAAAAAGAATACATCTGGATAGATATAAATTAATAATGTGTGCTATTACTTAAAAGACTATTGACCATTTAAAGCAGTGGTTCTCAACCTTCCTAATGCCACGACCTTCAATACAGTTCCTCATGTTGTGGTGACCCCCAACCATAAAATTATTTTCGTTGCTACTTCATAACTGTAATTTTGCTACTGTTATGAATCATAATGTAAATATCTGATATGCAGGATGTATTTTCATTGTTACAAATTGAACATAATTAAAGCATAGTGATTAACCATAAAAACAATATGTAATTTTATATGTGTTTTCCAATGGTCTTAGGCGACCCCTGTGAAGGGGTCGCGACCCACAGGTTGAGAACCGCTGATTTAAAGTAAAATAACATCTATGTATTGGGAGGAATCTAGTGTATGTAGTGAAGTACAATGTACAACAATGATGGCACAAATAATGAGAGAGGGCAATTGAAAGTATACTGTTGCTAAAGTTTCTACACTGTTGCTTTTATTTGGAAGGAAAGTGTAAAAACAAAGATGTATGTTGTAACATCCAGACTAATTAATAAGAAGATAACCCCAAAAGTTGTGGGTTTTTTTTTTAATCTTTGTTGTTGGAAATATTACATACATCCCTTCCGCCTTTACCCCCATTGACCTCCTCTAACCCACCCCACTCCCACCCCAGGCCTTCACCATCCTATTGTCTGTGTCCATGGGTTATGCATATATGCATTCAAGTTCTTTGGTTGATCTCTTCCCACCCACCCATCCTCCCCCACCTTCCCTCTGAGGCTTGACAGTCCGTTCCATGCTTCTATGTCTCTGGATCTCCAAGCTCAGGTTAAACAATTATTTCTTCATGCTTAAAATTTTTTCTCAATTTCAGCTCATCTCAGGAAATTATACGTTAGTGTGGATTTTCATGGCCACTTGAAAATAAATGCTCTGCATCTGTATTCAGAGGGTGCCATCCTCCCATTCAACCAACTTAAACTCACCATGTAGTTTCTATGTTTTGGTGGTGACGGTAGTACTATAAAATAAGCCTGAAACTAGGTGGATTTTTAAATCATGAAAATTAAAGTCTCAATTTACTTGACAATTCTAGGCTGCCATCAATGACTGCTTATGAAATTCCCCAAACCCTGCCCTCCATCGGTAATACTACGCCCACAGACAAGAGGAGCTTCGCTGGGGTCATTGGACCCACACAGGATACATATAATCTCACTGAAGGTTTGGACCTTATGCCTCCTCTCTGTCCCCTCAACTTCTCTGGTCTCTATCAGGGATATACTGAAAATGAAAGAAGTTGAGCTTTATAAATCCATTGTAATGGATAATGGTGTTTGGCCAAAAGATATATACAACTAGGTTTAAAAAAAAAAAAAGGAAAGGGAAGGTTAGCAGTGGAGAGAGGGAGCCGTTTTAATCCTTGTGAGCTGCTGACTCTTCAGTCTCTAAAATGAGACGACCCACCCGCCTCACAGGATTGTTCCACAGACTTTTGAGATTAAATAGCAAATATCAAAAAATGCAACTTTTGTTTTTGTTTCATCTTCCTCAGGAGGGATTTCTGATATTCTTTGAACTTTGAGACTTCTAATGACATTAGACATCAAAAGAACTAATTCCCATTTGGGCACTGGGATTGGGTAGAGAGATTGCAAGTTTTCTCCTGTTT